ATGAGTGACTTCCATCGATTACTACCCTCTGGGTCCGACCCCGGAGCCAATTTTCCAGCCAGTGGATTGTGGAGGACCCAAGGCGACAATTGGCCAGTTTCTCCAAGAGGCGATCATGGGACACCAGATCGAAGGCTTTTTTGAAGTCAAGATATATTCCATCAATCTCTTCTCCCTTGTCCAGGTGATAGGTCACCTGGTCGTAGAAGGAAATGAGATTGGTCAAGCAAGACCTACCCTATAATAGGCGAGTTTATTGATACACAGTGATAACAAAAAAGCAACAATATAAACAATCAAGCAATTCTGTATCTACCCTTCCTAGGGCTGTCGTCAAAGTACATCTGGTCAGGATGCAGGCTCCACTCTGAGGCTCTCTCTCTTCGGTGTCAGCAGTCTGGAGGTGGGATGCTGAGGCCCACAGCCCCCCCTCCAGTGGGGTGCATGAGACAGGCTGCTGGTATGCCCTCTGTCCATGGCAGCCTTGGGGACCCTTCCCGGGGGACAAGTATGGGGATGGGGACCCCTCTCAGGGAGCAAGATGGGAAGGGACAGGGAAGGACCCTTAGATTAATCTCAGGTCTCTGCTTTTGTATTCTCCTTCCCCCTTGATGACTCCTGATGACTCTTCATCTGTGGTTATATCCGATTATCTCTCTCTCAGTGGTCACATGACCATGTAGCCTTCTGGACTTTCTCCTAATTTGGTCTGTTCCCTCAAAACCAGGACTTAAGCTCCCCTGCTGAGGCCTTGTTGCTGGTGTCACTTATCTTGTGTTATGGGACAGTATGGTACATGGTTCTTTGGTTTCCAGGCTGTGTGTCCTTGTTGTGTTAGATAACCTGTCTGCTTTGAAGGCTGTGATCTCATGTTATGGCATAGCCTCCTTAATTCTTAGGCCGTGTCCATTCGTTGGCCTTGTTGTGCTAGACACCCCATCTACTATCTATACCTATAAGCCAGTTCCCAAAAAACAGGCCTTTAAATACTGTTTCTAAGCCAACATATTCTCCTGCTTGAAAATTTATCTTCAAAACATCACTGGCATCACCTGGAATGTCCATGAGATTTGTGGGAAGGACCTACACCAGTCATGCCTGGAAAAGTATGACAGCATTCGTGCTCACGATCTCCAGTGGGGTGGACTATATTGTTCATATATCGCCCATATCCCCTTTGACTCAGTCTCTTGCCTCAGCATTCCCTAACCAAGCAACCAAGTTTTAGCCAATTAGGTTTAAATAGGCCTCCCGTACTGGGACCAGGGAATGTATGGCCTGAGATGCCTACCAAAACTTTTACACAACATTTCAGGTAGTAGGTTGCTCCGTAGTCAGTGTCTTATCTGATTGTCAAGATGGCTATTCAGATCAGCAAAAACATTTAATGGTCAGAATCTCTGGAGACCAGACATGTCCATGGCAACTTGACTCCTCCTGTATACTGGGCAATGCTTTCTTTTTGTCTCCACTGGATGCTTGGTGCCATTGTAACACTAGCAGTGCCAAGGGTTAGGACTTTCTCAATCCATCATGGAAAGCAGGCATGCTGTATCCGGACTTGATTTTCCTCAGGATCCCATCATTCTGCTCTGTGTTCCCAATCTCTGCACAAATTTTGGGAATTAATAAAACTAAGTTACATTACTACTACTCTAATGCAAACAGAGCAAAAACAAAAAAGAACAAAAGGAAACAAAAGAAAAAAACAAACAAAAGGATAACAATAAAACAAACAATCAGTTCAGCCTTCTCGATCTTTGGCATGGCTGAACTCTGTGAGGCCATGGAGGAGATGCTTTGCATGATGCACCATTTCTTGTAGCCATATTGCAAGTATTTCAAAGCTTATCAAGAAGCTTTGCTTTACACTTCATAGTCTAGTACAGTTGACATCACAATCACTTA